CCACCGCCATGCCCGGCCTCCCGCTCCCGGCCTCCGGCTCCCGGCCTCCGGCTCCCGGCCTCCCCACGCTGCGCCTCAGAGCAGCGCCGGCCCCGAGGCTGGAGCAAAGGGGGGATCTCCTTCGATGAACTGCTCCCCACAGCCCCTCGCCCTGGGCGATCCATGAATGACCCGAAACGCGGCTCTGCTATTGGACGTGTTGCTCCTCGTGGATCTGAGAGCTACTGGGGCTCTTTTTTCAAAATGGTTCCCCCTCTTTCCAACCACGTCATCTTGGGAAGCAGAGATGTCCTGCCTGGCACCCAGGGGCCCTGCCCCTCAGCCAGCGAACTCGGCCTCCTGCTGGGGGAGGGGCTCCAGGTGTCACGCTGATGCTCACTCACTGGGAGGCGCGAGGGCCTCAGGCGCTGGCCGGGTGGGGTGGGTGGAGGGGGGCAGCTCTGGTCGGGCCAAGAGTCCCCCCAGGGCGTCCAAGGTCCAGAAGTGCTGTCAGGGGGCTCGACCTTCCCAAACTGTCAAACGGGGACCAAACCAGCTCTAACCACCTCTGAGGCCGATGGGAACACAGTTAACAGTAGACGGAGTCGCTCTCAGCGAACGGGGACGAGCCCTGTGCTTTCCTCCAATCAGGTCGTAGATTTGTCGCCGACGGATGAATATTCCTGGAGCTGTGGCTGTTTCCGTGACCATAGACGCCCCTGGACACGCCTCCTCAGGGCCTCCTGACGGGTTTTCCACGGACGGTTTGCAAGGTCCTTTCCTTCAGGCCCCAAACCTCCACGCTCAGCCTCGTGCCGCAGGCCACCCACCCTGACTGTCCCAAACACTTGAGACAAGACAGGAATCTTTTTTCACCCGCGTTTTGAAGCTTTGATCTTCATTGTCTTAACATTCAAGACACAGAGTTGTGGGTTTTGTCATCAAAGCTGTACATGGTTCTGCCCGGACGCCTCCGAGCCAGGCCAGGTTTCAGATTCCGTCAGGTTCCTCCCCGGGAGCAGTGACCGCAGCCCTGGCCGCATTCCTCAGGCGTGTCCTCTGCCTGTCCTCTCCCTCCCCCTTCT